AGGAATTCTGGGAATTGAAGTCCACACATTTTAAAGTTGCCAAGTTTGAAAAACACTGGTTAATGGCTTGCTAATACAAGAACAAAGGATGTGAGCCAATCTTTAGGTGCTTCACCAAAGTGAGTAAGTACAAGTGGAGCACAGAACACCAGTTTTGAACCAGTTGTATGAACTGCTGACATGTTTTCTATTCTGTTTATAGAACTGATGCTTGCCTTTGAAACCCTAAACAACTGGAAATGGGTGATTTGAAGAATTGCTTCTACCTTCAAGACCCCACTTAAAGTTTATTTTAGCTACAGCCTGTCCTACCAGTTGACCAGTCCTGGTCTACGGATCAGAATCTGTCTTACTATAATGGAATTCTTTGAGCCTGGGAACAAGAATGGATCTTTGCAAAACACTGCCAGAAGAGTAGAGATGGACCTTCTGGTCATATCTCATAAACAGATAGCCAGCTTCCTCTTAATCAAGAAAGAGTCCAAAAGAGAATCAAAATCAAGTTAGAAAGTGGATCAAAGGACTCACTTTAACACACTTCCTGATGGGGGGGGGAGGGTTAAAGTACACACATGTCCACTTGCCAAGATATTGTAACCTAATCCTTTTTCCTTGCAATAAACCTGGTTAATGAGATTTTGTGAGGGCTTAACCTTCTTGGAGGTTAGGGGTCTTGCCACTCACGAAGGATAGACGTGTGCTTTAAGGATAAGAAATTCAGGAGAGCAGGGAAGATGAAATGACTATTTTAGGAGGCTCAGCTATTTGTAGAGCTACGAATATGACTCCAGAGTAAAGGCCAAAATTATCATCCTTACTCAGAATGGATTATGACACCAAAGCAGAGCAATAGAAACGCTTGCTACTCTCATTTCGGAAATGAATGAGTTTATTAAAAAAATCCACCCCCCCAAGGTTTTTTGAAAATACGGTTATGGTGGAAATAGTTGGTACAGAAATAGTTGGTACATAATATTAGGAATAATTCAACAATAAAACGTTGCAGAGTGTGCAATTTTTTAGATGTTTTCCAGTGCTGTGGGTTTAATTTTGCCTTTATACTGCAATTGGTTACGAGGATTAAAAAAAATTTTTTTTAAAGATATATTCCTTTTTAAGTTTGGGGAATGGCCTAGAACGCATGGTCCGTGGGGTGATATAGAAACGCAATTAAAGAAATAAAGTCCCATCTCACTTGGCCCCCGTCACAATTACGTCCCTGGAACGCGCACCGACCTTGACTTTTATCCACAAGAGGCAAAGTGCTGTCATCATATCCAGATTTACAAGAGATACCTTTAGATCCCTTAGCAGTCGCCGAAGCAGACTAGAACATTAAAAAAAAGAAAGTCTGTCGTCAGCAGTTTGCATGCAACGGAGCAGAAAGCAAAATCCATTTTGAAAAACTATTGTGAAATGCCCATTTCAGAAAAACCTTCCTATGTCCTACTTCTGAATCTGTAGCTCAACGCTATGTCAGCACAGGAAAAGTCCATGCTTATGTGTGAGTATTGTGGGGACCCCAGGACCATAACACAGGAGACTTGTGCTTTGACAACCAATCTTTGTGACGCTGGCACTTAACCCATTCGTTTTAAAGCAGTTGCAATCTGTAACAATGGCCAGAGACATCCTGGACGACCGCATTGTTTGAAAGTTGAAATACAGAATATGTTTCCACTGATAATAAGTACTGTCTTGAGAGTGGCTCAAGATCCCATCTCCAAATCCTGATACCTGATTTCCCTATAACACGATCATAGTTTCCCCACACTTAAGAAGAGAGAATATAAATGCAGATACACTTTTATCTGCAATGATATGAATGAATCTGAATTTCCTTCACATGGGAAATTCCCTTTTTAAAATTACCTTGCAACGTAGCATCCTGATTTTATTTGTTTATGCCAAGGAAAGATGGTTATGTCGTGGAGGCCAACATGAGCTAAATTCTTATCCACTCCTACTACAATTCTCAGCTAGAAACTGCGTGGGTTTTCTTACCTGGAAATGAGATTTATTCCAGCCTTCCTTCTGCAAAACACTCCGTAACTCTTTATAACTCCAGGTCATTTGAAGAACGTGAGAGGCTGCTTTCATTTCTCTGGAGGACTGGCTGATTTTGAAGAGGTGGCAGAGAAAACACATATACACACAAAGAAAGCCAAGAGACATCATATGCAGAAGAATTGGTCAGCCAGTCTCTTAACATATCTGTAACATTATTTCAAAGAATTAGCTCTCTAGTCCTTACATGGGAGTCTTCAAGGGAAATCCATCTGTTTCACTCTGTGGTCACTGCTAGGTTTAGAATGGACCCAACAAATCTGAGACTGATAAAGCAAGCCTAGACAGCGTCATCAGACAAACTAAAGCTGATCACAGATTGTAGAAGACAACTTCCTTCTATTGTCCTAATTTGAGACAACTTAAACCACCAGGAATCCATTCCCTGGAGCTCTCCAAGGTCCTGCTTTCTATTGCCCTTTCCACCAAGGGGGGAGCTTCACTTCTACAAGCATTAGTCAGCTTGTAGAGATGACCTTGGTCATATTTATCCCATAATACCTTTAGCTACAATTATTACGCTTTGATGGAATGAAAAGGTCAGGGAAGAACTGCCCTCACAACATCGTTGGCACGCTTCTGAGAAGCATCTGCTTGGTCACTGTAGGAACTGAGATGCTCGATGATTGATCAGATGGAGCATCCGTAGTCTGTATGAATGCGTCATTTGTCTCTCTGGGCCAATTACAAGATGATGCACTAGAATGCTGGTCTTTGAGTCCGGCTAAAAAAAACCCCCACACCTTTCCTCTAAGCCTTTCCTTGAGTCATGGCTATGAGCTGGGCCCCTGTATTAATCATTGAAATAATGTTGTGATCCAAATGAGAATATTCTCAGATTATCCTCCACCTCCTTACAACGGCTGCACGTCGGCCTGTTTATTTTATTAACAGTCTTGTCCCTGCTGCCCGTACTGTACCATTGAATATTCAAAAAGGACAAGCATCTCCCGTTTTGCCAATAAATGTCTGGATTTGCTTAAATGATGAGGCTTGATAAATACAGGCTCAATGCTGGGGAGGAGAACAGGCAACAAGGGAGTCTGTCCCGGGATGACTGATTATTTCATTGGATCAATTTTGCTTCAGTGTCAACTCAGCCTCTTGAAGAGCACTGGTTTAGAGATGCATGGTGTTGGCGTGTGTTTTCAATGCTCCAGGGCCACATCTGAAAGATGAGGGGGCACTTGCTTCTTTAATACAGAAGACTGGTGAGATTTGGGGTTTCTTCTTTCAGGACCACCCATCTCACAAGCTTGAGATGCTCACCTCAAACACAGACTCTCAAAAGATCTAGCCCAGCTCAGAAAGAACAATGTTTTTTCTGGGTCATGCTATGCTTTTGGAAACATAGGACAGGGTTCAAAATTCTTTCCATATGCAAGAAACATAGCTCAGTGCAAGGAGCGACGGAGGACCGACTTTTGCATACACATGATCTTGGTTCCATCTGAGCATCTCCAGTTAAAGAAAGAAGGATTTGGTAAGCAGGTGTGGGCACCTTGGGCCAGTCACTCTCTCTCAACCCTAGGAAGGAGGCAATGGCAAACCACTTCTGAAAAACCTTGCCAAGAAAACTGCAGGGATTTGTCCAGGCTGTTGCCAGGAGTCAACACTAACTTGAAGCCCATGCACACACAATGTCTGGGACAGAAAACCTGGCAGCGTGGCATTTTACAAATATTTGAGGTTTTGGTTCCCATCACTCCTGGCAAGCATGACTAATGACATCGGCTTGTGATAGAGCTCCAAAATCTAGCCTGCAGTAATCAAGAGAGCCACTAGATGGCTGCAGAGATATAGGAAACTAATCATGTGCTGCCATCTAGTGGTCATTCATGATTTTTCAGCCCCAAACGATCAGTCCTACCTTGTGAGAGTTGAAGCCCACAATGCCTGGGAGCTCCAGACTGCAAAGTTCTGCAGTTGATAGACTAGACCAGTGTTTCCCAGCCACGGCAACTTTAAGATCTATGGACTGCAACTCCCAGAATTCCCCAGCCAGCACAGCTATTGCTAAGAATTCTAGGAGTTGAAGCCCACACATCTTAAAGTTGCCAAGGCTGTGTAGGCAGGTAGCCTGCTCAAAAGTGACCTTTTTATGTCTTGGTATTCTTCCACATTACTGGAATTTTTTTTAGATGCTAACCTTGATTTGCTGATAGCAACCAGCTTCTGAATGCCTTGCGTCTGGATCAGGGACCTGGCATTTTCAGAACTGTCAGTAATAATTTCATGGATTGTATTCAGGACGGCAACAACCGTGTCCTCTTCTAGGTTTTTTGATGATCTCTGCTGCCGGCTAGGCAAATTTCTTACCAATTCCCCCATGGCGTAGCTACCTGAAATTAGAAGGCATGCCTATCATTGCAAACCAATTATTATTCCAGGAAAATAAGGCAGCTATAGCTGAAGGCAGAACCTCTACTTGCAACATGAAAAGGTCCCTAGTTCATTTTCCAGCACATCTCCTAAAAATGTCAGTAAGGTTTAGAAGCATTTTCCATCCAGCGGCTTGAAACTGATTCTAGGAGTCCTGGGAGCGAATCAATCTGATCTCACGTTTTTGAGATCCATCAACAAATTTGTGTTTGGCATCTAACTCATTTTGCTCATAACAAAATATCATACTATTAACCTTTGTTGGCTGGTTTGGGTAACTAATACTCTTCTAAATGTTACTGCAATTAACCCAATGAACCTACATGAGTCCTTATGGAATACTGGTCATTATGCACTTATTTAAGAGGTAACAACGGTTGGTTGCTTATCCATATCAACCTCAGATCTTTCTCTCGATTTAAAAGACTTGCAGATCAGATGCTGTTGTTAGAATAGCCCAAGATGGCCACCTCAATGTGAGCAACAGCAGGGCCCAATTGGGATCAGATTCAGAAGTTTTAAGGGTGACGTGGGTGCCTTAAACCCCCCCCAATAGAAAAAGGGGATTCTCACAGTTTTTGCTCCCACCCAATCTAGATGGGGTCTAGCAACCACGAGGGGGCACCTCTGGAACTGACAGTTAAAAGTTTTGACTAATTTGTTAGTTCTGCTGTTTCAACCCTGCTTGTTATGTGGCTGCCACCCAAATTAATTGTCCACACTTGCCCACAGGAATAGAGCAGCTTCAGAAGAACATTTTTCACAAGTTCAGAGATGTTTGTTTCCAAGGATCTGAGAACTTGCCCGAAACTGCAGCTAGAGAAATTAGGGACTTAAACAAACAAACAAGAACTTTTTATCCCTTGTTACAAATTCCAGGGCTGCCATACACAGGTAGTTTTTGTTTATTGACTGTCTCATTTAATGACCATTCAAAGTTACAACAATATAAAAAGAAAGCTTTGTGACCAGTCCTTGCATTTATGACCATCATAGCATCCCAGAGTCATGGAATCGCCGTTTGTATTTTGCAATCAGTTTGTGACAAGCAGAGTTCAAAGAGAAAGAGAATGTAAAATTGTCAGTCACAGTCACATGTTTTACTTAGCGACCACAGCGTTTAGTGAGAATTGTTGGTCCCAACTGTGGTCACTAAGCGAGGACTAGCTGTATTATCCTTTGCAATCTACCATTCAAACCAGAGCTGGGGAACAGTTGCAAAGACTAAGCATTAATGCTAACACAGGGCCCACATTTTTATTTTTTGCTGGCATGCATTTCCCAGCAAGCACATTGCTCATGTAATTTTCCCATTTTGAGGAGATGCCTGGGAATTTTATTTTGCATCCCTAGAGCCAAGCTGTGGTTTCTTCTCTCACCTTAAGTTAAAATCAGGTTGAAATGGATGTGGACGCCTTCCATCTCAGCTCTAGCTGTGGACACTAGGCCTCCTGAAACAGAATCTCTGGAGGTTCTAACTCTAGTCACCTTAGAACTGTGCAGAACTCACCTATGAGATCCTTGTTGCGGCGGTCCATGGAGAGATTTCGCAGGGCAATGGATACTGCCCTTACCACCTTGTCTGAATCTGATTGGAGGAGTTCCACCAGGACCGGGAGCCCTCGTTCCTTTCGCACCGTTGCCCGGATGTATGTAGACCACTGTTCAAGAAGGAAGGGAGAAGAAAAACACAAGCCACTTAGTGGGGTTACCAAAACTCAGACAGAAACTCAAATAGCTGGCCGAATCTGTACTCTGGAAGACATGAAGGCCATGATAATGGTGTAGAACATCTAAAGACCAAAGCTTGGGAAAGCAGAAAGGTATCTCCTGGGAGAGACTATGGCTTAGTGTCTTTTATTTCCAGATGCAAAGCTATGGTCTTTCTAACATCATTGATCAATGGTTGGGAGAGGGACTCACTTCTGTATGAAATGAGTAATTTTCCTAGGGTGCTGGAAAATTACAAACTTCTCCTAGATCTTGTTCTCCAGATGTCTTGGAATGCAGAGAATAAGGAAGAAGATTTTGACAGAGATCATTACCTAGATCCACTACCAAAGCAACAAGGGGAAAAACATGGCTTATGTCCTAAACAAGAAGAGGTTAAGCCCAAGCAACTCAGGCAGATACCTCCCTAATTCATGTGAGTATTGGGGGGGGGGGGGGGGGGACAGTAAAGCACAGTTAGACTTGCAAAATTCTGTTACGATGGCCAGTATTCATAAAAGTAGTTTTGGTCCTGTGGAGTTGATTGCTTGAGCCTGACATCAATTTTGCAGTCTGACTGTGCTGACTTGGGAAGCTGCACGCCGTTCAGAGTTGGTTGTTTGGAACAGCTTATAGGCCTTGGTAAGTAAGTAAGTAAATAACCAAACAACCAAGTAAGTGAAGTGAACTCTCATGCTCTTGAAGATAAAAATGTAACACGTGTGTGTTTATTAAGGTAGTCCCTGCATTTTCCAGATGCTGATTTAATGGTGCAGGGCTGCAGAAAGTTTGAGAAACACCACTATAAAGACAGAGCCTTGTAGTAAGACTAAGGTAGGAGTAAAACAATGACTGGAAACTCAGTGGCAGCTCCAATGAACCTTGAGGGCGTTAAGTTGGGAAGGCCAAATTGAACCTGGATATCTCCTATGCCACGTTAAATGAGTGGCATAAGGAAGACGGTGTGATGGAATGGTGTTATGAAGGCCACGCTCAGGGAAATAACCGTTTCCTTAGCCCCCAACAGGAGCGTGGGAAGTTCAAGAAGATGAGACTGGCACCGCCCTAAGGAATTCACGGTGTTGTGGCTGGCTGGGTTGGGGAGTTTGATTCAGTCTGGAGAGATTTCTGTCTTGAGGTGGAAGCTAATAAACGCAACAGAACTGTATTGCACTGTCTCGGAGAGTTCTTTGGGCTGAATCTGACAGATGGGCAGTTCTTTCCAAAGCTTTTGATGGCATTCAACCAGCGTTTCTCAAACGTGGCCACCTGAAGACAGTACTGGCTGGGGAATTCTGGGAGTTGAAGTCCACATGTCCTCAGGTGGCCAAGTTTGAGAAACCCTGCATTATTAAGAAAACTGAGGAAATATTGACCCCGAAAAATAGCTAAGCCACCAAGATTTCACTCACTGTCCAGTTTCCTGCACTGAGGTTCTGCAAAGCACCCGCTGCTGCTTCCAAAGTATTGAAATTCTGACTTTCGGTGAGAATCGAGAGGTACAGCCGCACGACTTCTGGCTGGTAGAGCAATTCAAAGCCTAAACATGGAAGGGAGGATACAACATTTAGGTTCTGACTCCAGCTTCTTCTGCAAGAAGAGCGGTGATAGCTTACTTGAGCAAAACCACCATTTACTATACTGTTAGTGGACTAGAAGCCACTTACAAGATGTATACAGAGTTCCCTTCAACTGGCAAGGCTGCACTCCTATCACACTTACTCAAACACATGTGAACACCCAACATACCCAACCTTTGCAACAGGGCACAAGTCAAGTTGAAGTGGGAAGGGATGGAAGAACCAATACACCCTCTGCATTGTCAACGGCCTTCTGAATCTTTGCACTTTGACCACAGAAGTTGGGAAAGGCTTTCCTTTTTTGTTTTTTTTACCAATTATTTTTATTTTTCATAAGGTACAAATTGAGAAAACAAAAGGACAAAAAATATACAAAGATTAAAAGAGTTAAAGAAAAACAGTAGAAGAAATAATACAAACGTGTACAAACCTAACTGAATGACTTCCGACTACCTTGGCAGAAGAGATACACAAAAACTTTCATAAAACCTTGTTTATAATAAGACTTCTACTTTTCCCAATAGTCTGTTGTTATAACAAATCATCAAACCCATATGTCAATATTCAATT